AAATATACTCCATTCTCCAACGATTCCAGAAGCAGTTGGAAAGGTGTTGTACTCGCTTCCACTGGTCATAGCACAGATTTCCTGTTTTAAAGTTTCCAGGTGGAACAGGAATGGACCCAAGCTTCTGGGTAAGTAGAGTAGCTGCGGTAAGGATAGTTGGGGTCTCTGGATCTGTAGAAACTGGAACAAGTGGTCTTGAATTGATTATGGCAGATGCTTCTGAGAAGATGTGAAGCTCTTTTCCCTGACTTGTAGCAAGGGAAGCTGAGGTGTAACAGTGTGGTATACTGATTCCATCTAAGGCATGTAGAGATTGTTTCCAGGACTCCCACTTTGGAAGCTTGTCTGTAGGCAGCAAAGCATCCCAATCTTTAATAGACTCTGAGTACTGTCTAAGGCTTTACCTTGTATGGTGATGGGAGCCACAAATCCCAATGGATCGTATAAGCTGTTCACCACTGACAGAACACCACGCTTGGTAAATGGTTTGTCTGCAGAGCCGACTTGAAAGCCGTAGGTATCTTTTAATAAGTCCCACCGTAGGCCCAGACTTCTCTGTACAGGTGGCATGTCCATCCCAAGATTTAAATCTTTAAACCCAGTGGCATGATCGCCAGGTTGAAAGGCTTTCATAACAGCGACACTATTTGAGGCAATCTTGTGTAGTCTGAGGTTAGCCTCGGAAAGCATACCTTGTGTCCTTTGGAGCAGGTCTATGGCTTCTTCGTCTGTAGGTAAAGACTTAAGTCCATCGTCAACATAAAAGTCTCTCTCAACGAAGTGTCGAGCATCCGCACCATACTCCTTTTCTCCATCAAGGGCAGTCCTTCGTAAACCATATGTTGCAACAGCGGGTGAGGGACTATTTCCAAAAACATGTACCTTCATGCGGTATTCAATTATCTCATTGTCCATGTTGTTGTTACGGTGCCACAGAAACCTTAGGAGGTTCCTATGGTCTTCACGTACAATGAAGCAATGAAACATTTGCTCAATATCAGCAGTTATGGCAACTGGTTCTCTTCTAAATCTCATAAGTATACCTATAAGGTTGTTGGTTAGATTCGGGCCAGTGAGAAGAACATTGTTCAGGGATACGCCTTGATGCTTGGCACTGGAGTCAAATACCACCCTGATTTGTTTTGGCTTACGTGGATGATACACTCCAAAGAAAGGCAGGTACCAGCACTCATCGTGTCTTTGAAGTGGTGGCGCTGGTTCGGCGTGATCATTGTCAAAGATCCTTTTCATAAAAGCGATGAAATGTTCCTTCATTTCAGGCCTGTTCTTTAGTGTTCTTTGAAGTGAGTTGAATCTGGATAGAGCCTGTTCACGATTGGTTGGGAGTGTGGCCCTTGTAGCACGAAGAGGTAATGGTGCGATCCAGCTGTTAGACTCATCCTGGAAGAATTCTTCGTCCATTATTTTGATGAACTCTCTATCTTCGACTGACAAGGCTATTTTTTTTGTCATCACTTGTAGTACAAAACACTGTGGTACCTAGGTTGTCATCACGAAGAACAGGAGTAACATCAGGTACTTGGATGATGTCAAGAGGCTTCTTCTTTACTTCATAATGGTGAGGGCACTGTTTGAAGTGGGATGCACGTCCATTTCTCAACATGTAAGTTTTGAAGGAGTGGATCTCAGATGATGTTCTGTCCAGGCATACATCGCCCACTATTACCCAGCCTAGGTCAAGTCTTTGTGCATAAGGGGCATCGTTAGGTCCATCGCATTGGTCGCGTACTTTATGTACTCTGAGAATGTCTCTTCCTAGCAGGACCAAGATTTCAGCACTCTTGTCCATCGCAGGAATCTCATCAGCAAGGTGCCTTAAGTGAGGATGATGATATGCAGCTTCTGGAGTAGGAATCTCTCCTCTTTCGTCTGGTATCTGATCACACTCAACTAATGTTGGGAGGGGTATGCCTTCTCCATCCTTGATATGAGAGACCATGAATCCATCGACCCTTCTGCCAAAGGTCTCTACACGACCAGAACAGGTTCTGAGAGTATACGGTGTGGCGTGACCTTCTAAGCCAAAGATCTCAAAGAATTTAGGCTTAACCAGGGATCTGTTACTCTGTTCATCTATTATGGCATACATCCTAGCAGCTTCCTCAGGATGATCCTTTGGGTATATCTTGACTAGGCATATCTTGGCACAGCATTTGTGATCCAGTCCCTCTCCACAGACTTCTGTGCATGAAGAAGAAACATTACTTTTGGCTAGAGCATGACTTTGTTGCTCCCCGCCATAATTTGAAACGGGTTGAGGTAGGTAGCTGCTGCGGGTTGTCTGGAAGTGGAGTAGGATGCATGGCTGTAGCATGTCTGTCGCTACCGCATTCTGTGCACTTGATGACAACTTTACAGTCTTTAGCAAAGTGGTTATAAGAAGCACAGCACTTGTAGCATATTCCAAGTTTCTGGAGAATCTCCCTGCGCTCTTGTAAAGTCTTTGCCCTAAGCCCACGACATTTCTTAAGAGGGTGAGGCTTCTTGTGAATAGGACACTGACGATTAGGGTCTTTATCTCTGGCATCCACAATGCCTTGGTCAGTAGGTGAGATTGTGGAGGGTGAGATGTCTGTCCTTTTAACAGGTATTGCTCTAGTACCGTCTCTACGTTTAGCTGCTGTGTTATCATACCTTGATGATGATGATGAAGGTTCACTGAAGCTGAAGTTTGGTTCACTGAAGCTGAAGCTGGGATCATTTCTCGTCCAGGCTTGATCACTAATGAACCTGCAAAAGTATGAGAATGGAGGAAAGGATACGTTATAGTCTCTTTTGTACCTTGAGCCTTGTTGTGCCCATTTCTCTTGCAGGCCATATGGCAGCTTAGACACCACTAGGTTGACACCATGAGCGGTGTCCAGGAAGCTTAGTCCAGATAGACGTGGGTCTGTCTTTGCCAACTCTAGCTCCATGAGGAGGTCACTTAGGAAACAGACTATCGCAAGCTCCAAGATCTATTTTTGGGAAGTTTTGCAGTCTCTTGAATAGACCGCTCTCTATGGCTTCAGAGCTACCATAGGCTAGCTCAAGTCTTGCCCATGCAGCAACAAGACCTGCGTCTGGGTGGTCAACATGTACTGTTCTCCGTCTTTTAACACGATCTGCAGATTCTGGTCCCAGCCACTTTATGAGCAAATCAAGTTCTTCCTTAGTAGTAAGGTTGAGATCAGCAATAGCAGCCTTGAAGGTTGATCTCCAGGCCCTGTAGCTCTCTGGACAGTCATCAAACCTTGAGAGGCTGGTGTTAATGAGCTCACGGTGAATCATATATCTGGCAAAGTCATTCAAGTCTGATCTCTCACTCTTTGGTGCCAAAGTAACTTGTGGAACCCCTTGGGTGTGAAAGTTCTCTGGTGATGTAGAGTGAGGTTTACCATGGTAAAATGATGTTGCATGAGCGTTTAACTGTGGTGTAGTCTCTAAGGCTTGTGCTGGCTGTGGCTTGAGCTGCGGCTTGTCGCTGGAAGTCACCTTGTTGTTGGCAGGAGTTGATGTGGTTTTCTGCATAGATGTACTTGTGTTGTAGATTTGAAGAGGCTTAGGCATATGGAGCTGAGAGGTCTCTGTGTTGAGAGTCAGAACAGTGTTAGTAGGAGGTACAGGAGATGACTCTGTAGCTTCGCAAATGTTATGCTTTAATACGTATTCACTGGTGCGTTCAACAGGATCTTCCAGTTCTGCTGGGATAAGGTAGTCTGAGTTAGTACTTTGTCCCTTTGCTTGTTCAAGGACTTTCAGCCTTGCTAGGGAAGCTGCTTCCTCCCTTCCATCTGCAGAATCTTTATTTGGGAATCTGCCTCTGCTTGTTGAGCTTTGCTTTTCGCTTCCATCTCTGCTTGCTGAGCTATCTTGCGTGCTTCTATCTCTGCTTGCTGAGCTATCATCTCCGCTTGTTGCGCTATCTTGCGTGCTTCTACCTCTGCTTCCTTTCTGGTAAAAAAGCTTTGCGCCTTTTTTGATTCAGCATGGGCCTCTATTAGCTTATCGCTTAACGTGGAACTTCTGGAGTGAGAGGATCTAGAAGAAAGTGCAGTGCACTTGGTTGAGGTGGATCTGTGAGATCTGGTCTCCTGCAGTTGACTAATGCGGAGTTCTGCTTTAAACTTAGCATTTTGCACTGCAAGATCCCTTTGTTGGTTTAGGGCATAAGTTCTGGTCAGTTCTGCTGAAGAATCCTCCGTAAAATAATCAGCTTTCTTGCAGGACTCTAATATAGACAGCCTCTGGTAGCGTTCATACGCAGCAGATAGGCAATTTATAGAGTCTCTTAATTCAGCTGGTTGATCATTAAAGTGTGACAAAACTGACATGCATTGTGAAGTTCGGTCCCAGAGGTCTGACAGATTACTGGAGAACTCCTCTAATGGCTTCATAGTTTTCCCTGAGTTTCTGTGTCGGTTTTATTGTATGTTTGGGTTTTACGCTCTGTTCGGGAATGTCTGCAGAATCTGCTCCCTGTACATCTGCTGGTTCAGAAGAATAATGTATCTGCGTTGGTTCGGCCATAAAGGAGTGTTCAGAGCCTTGTCTAGACATTTTTTACTGTTCTGCAAAAATTGGTAATGTCTCTTTAAGAAGACGAACAGCAGCTTAGACAGGGGGGGGGGGGGTAACACAGTTCAATGCAGAGGAACAGTTTTCAACATTCACATGAAGTGCAGTATGCTTGTGCGACCATGTGCTTTGCAAGATGGCGGATGGCACGGAGCTTGATTGCAGATTAGGCACACACATATACACAGCAGGCTGTAGGGATTCTATGCATCTTTTGACTATTCTGACTCAGATTGTTGTGATAGCAATTTATCCCTTGTGAGACCTCTCTGCCTAGCCTGTATAAGCAGATATAATCACTAGAGATGAGTGAAGTATTCAAAAATTCGATTCGGCGAATTCGCGGAATAAATTCGATTCAAGGCGAATATATTCGCTGCGATTTTAACTTATAAAAGGGTTTTCTAGGCTTCAGAGAGCCTTTATATTAGTGCAGAACACTGTACCTTTAATTTTAAATGCCCTTGGAGTCTGCTGGGGAAGAGAAATAATACTGTCAGTCAGTATGACATGCAGATGAGTGCCGTCGATCTTAGAATCACCGCACACTTCACTCATTTGGGCAGTCACGGGGCCAAAACATGAGTGTGGAGCCACAGTGCGGCGGTGGAGGCACAAGCAATGGGAGGCCATACAGCACCCTATGACAAAAATGGAACCCACCAGCAGTGTGAGGAGACCTGAAAGTGGCACATGGCAGAGTGTGGCGATGGAAACAGCAGCAATGGCAGGCCGTACAGGGACCCATGACACACTCTGGACCTGGCAGCAGCATTAGGAGGCGGGGTAACAGGGGCCCATGGCAGATTACGGGCCTGGCAGCAGCAATGGGAGGCCCGTAATCTGCCAGCACCCTATGACAAAAAATGGAACACACCAGCAGTGTGAGGAGACCTGAAAGTGGCACATGGCAGAGTGTGGCGATGGAGACAGCAGCAATGGGAGGCCGTACAGGGACCCATGAGAGACTGTGGACCTGGCAGCAGCATGAGGAGGCGGTACTGGGGCCCATGGCAGATTACGGGCCTGGCAGCAGCAATGGGAGGCCCGTAATCTGCCAGCACCCTATGACAAAAAATGGAACACACCAGCAGTGTGAGGAGACCTGAAAGTGGCACATGGCAGAGTGTGGCGATGGAGACAGCAGCAATGGGAGGCCGTACAGGGACCCATGAGAGACTCTGGACCTGGCAGCAGCATGAGGAGGCGGTACAGGGGCCCATGGCAGATTACGGGCCTGGCAGCAGCAATGGGAGGCCCGTAATCTGCCAGCACCCTATGACAAAATGGAACCCACCAGCAGTGTGAGGAGACCTGAAAGTGGCACATGTTTGGGGCATGATTCATGGCGGATTTAGTCAGTTGTGTCAGGAACTGGTGGTTTGAAATCCAGACTAATCCACACCTGATTCATTTTCACAAACGTGAGTCTCTCCACACTTTGGGTGGACAGTCGTGTCCTTCGCGGAGTTACAATACCTCCTGCCGCACTAAACACGCGCTCCGATGCCACGCTACTGGCCGGGCATGACAGCCTTTCAAGGGCAAATTCAGCTAGTTGGGGCCAAAGGTCAAGTTTCGTTGCCCAGTAGTCAAGGGGATTGTCTACCTCGGTTGGCAGGGTGCTGTCCAAGTAGGCCCAAGCCTGTTGTTTGAGGTCCTGCTCCAGGTCCACCTGATGCTGCTGCTGCTGCTGGTTTAGTAGTTTCCTCACTGCGCTGGTGAAGAAAGCTACTCATCATCGACTGCAGACTGAGGCAGCCGCTGCTGGTGGAGCTGCCACTGCTCCTACCACCCCACCCCTCCCCTGCTGCCATGGCAGCGGAACGCGAGCGCACAGGGCCCACAGTGTCTGAGGATGGACGTTGGCGCAGAAAGGCAGAGACCAGCTGACTATATAGGTGGTTTTTATAGTACTTTATTTTGGCCTCCCTCTCAGCAGGTGTGAAAAAGGCCACCATTTTTGAACGGTAGCGAGGGTCCAACAAGGTGGACAGCCAAAAGTCATCCCTCTGTCTGATGGTTATTATTCGGCTGTCGCTACGCAAGCAACCGAGCATGCTATGGGCCATTTGTGCCAAGGAATGCGAGGGACTCCCTGCCTCCATCTCCACAGCATACTGCCACGGTGCGTCTGGGTCCTCTGTCTCCTCTACCTCCTCCTCTTCTTCCTGTCCTGCCCCCACAGGGGTCATGTGGCGTTGAGATCTGTGCGCCACGTCTACCGCACCCTGACCAGCCATTGTTAACAGCATTTGTTCCAGGACGTGCAACAGAGGAATGACGTCGTTCATCCCATAGTCCTGCCGACTCACGAATAGCGTGGCCTCCTCAAAGGGCCTGAGCAAGCGGCAGGTGTCACGCATGAGCTGCCAATGGCTGACATCGAAGTTACACAGGGGAGTACCTTTATCCGCTTGTAACATCAGGAAATCGGTGATGGCCTTTCGCTGTTCGTAAAGGCGGTCTAACATGTGTAGGGTTGAATTCCACCTTGTTGCAACGTCGCAGATCAGGCGATGCTGTGGAATTCCGTTCTGCCGCTGCAGCTCAAGGAGGGTGTGCTTTGCGGTGTAGGAATGGCTGAAATGCATGCAAAGTTTACGTGACATTTTAAGGATGTCTTGCAGTGGGATGGTGGATTTTAGGAACCGCTTGACAACCAGATTGAACACGTGAGCCATGCATGGCACAACCTTCCTTGACGCAGAGCAGACACCATGTTCTTTCCGTTGTCGGTCAACATGGTTCCGATTTTCAGTTTGCGCGGAGACAGCCATCTGTCGATTTCTCTGTTCATTACACTCAGAAGTTCCTCCCCTGTGTGACTACGTTCGCCAAGGCATACCAGGTGCAGCACAGCGTGACACCGTTGCGCCCTGCACATGTAATATGCCGGTCGGGTAATGGGACTTGGCACGGGGGTGGCGGCTGAGGACACGGCGGAAGAAGAGGTGGTAGAGGCGGACATCTTTTGTGGACCAAGGACGTGCAAACGTGGAGGCAAAAGCGGCGTGACCTGTCCAAGTTGCTGGTGCGGCTGTGCCGGCACCACGTTCACCCAGTGGGCCGTAAATGACATGTACTGTCCCTGACCGTAGTTACAGCTCCACACGTCGGCGCTGCCGTGCACTTTGGCAGAGACCGACATGCTCAAAGACTGGCCCACCATCTCTTCTACATGTGAATGCAGGGCTGGCACTGCCTTTTTGGCGAAGAAATGACGGCTTGGCACTCTCCACACGCGGCGCGGCACGGCACAAGCCATCATTTCTCGGAAAGGTGCTGAGTCCACCACTTGGAAAGGGAGGGACTGCAGCACCAGCAACTTGGACAGGAGGACGTTCAGCTTTTGCACCGTCGGGTGCGTGCTCGCAAACTGTTGTCTCTTGGAAACGGATTCCAAGAAAGACTGCTGACGGAATCCGTGAAGAGGAGTAGCAGGAGAAGGAGCATCTGAATGAGCGGAAGATGCCAACGAGCGACAACTCCCCTCAGCAGAGGTGTTGGAGCCTTGACTGGCTGATAGAGGGCGATTGACGTCGGGTGACGGAGCAAGTAACGGAGCGGGTGATGGAGCTGGGGCTCCAGAATTGTTTCTGTGTCTGTCCCTGAGTAACAATTCTGTGTCTGTCCCTGAGTAACAATTCTGTGTCTGTCCCTGAGTAACAATTCTGTGTCTGTCCCTCAGTAACAATTCTGTGTCTGTCCCTCAGTAACAATTCTGTGTCTGTCCCTCAGTAACAATTCTGTGTCTGTCCCTCAGTAACAATTCTGTGTCTGTCCCTCAGTAACAATTCTGTGTCTGTCCCTCAGTAACAATTCTGTGTCTGTCCCTCAGTAACAATTCTGTGTCTGTCCCTCAGTAACAATTCTGTGTCTGTCCCTCAGTAACAATTCTGTGTCTGTCCCTCAGTAACAATTCTGTGTCTGTCCCTCAGTAACAATTCTGTGTCTGTCCCTGAGTAACAATTCTGTGTCTGTCCCTGAGTAACAATTCTGTGTCTGTCCCTGAGTAACAATTCTGTGTCCCTCAGTAACAATTCTGTGTCCCTCAGTAACAATTCTGTGTCCCTCAGTAACAATTCTGTGTCCCTCAGTAACAATTCTGTGTCCCTCAGTAACAATTCTGTGTCTGGCCCTGAGTAACGGTTCTGTGGCCCTAAGTAACGGTTCTGTGGCCCTAAGTAACGGTTCTGTGGCCCTAAGTAACGGTTCTGTGGCCCTAAGTAACGGTTCTGTGGCTCTGGCCCTAAGTAACGGTTCTGTGGCCCTAAGTAACATTTCTCTGGCCCTAAGTAACGTTTCTCTGGCCCTAAGTAACGATTCTGTGGCCCTAAGTAACGATTCTGTGGCCCTAACTAACGTTTCTGTGGCCCTAACTAACGTTTCTGTGGCCCTAACTAACGTTTCTGTGGCCCTAACTAACGTTTCTGTGGCCCTAAGTAACGTTTCTGTGGCCCTAAGTAACGTTTCTGTGGCCCTAACTCTCTCCCTCAATACAGCCAGGTCTGCCTCTCTTGAATGACTGGAGGCAAATGGAGAATTCTAAAATGGCCGCCATTTATAGCTCGACCATTACACAGTGCTGGCTGGCTGCTGATTGGCTAATGCGATCACATGTCATGAATGAATGCATTATGAGTCAGCGCGCCTTGTCTGCGCGCCTTCCCAGACATCCCCGCTCCGTCGCCGCACATGTCGCCGTCTGCTAATTTTCGGATTCGTCGCGAATCGAAATTTTCCTAATATTCGAAGCGAATTCCACTTCGCCTACTTCGATTCGCTCATCTCTAATAATCACTGTGGGCAATCCTTATCAGATAGCTGAACTCACCAATACTGTGTTCATCCAGAAGTTGCTTTTATTCTGTACGTGACAACAGGATACAGCAGAATGAATGGTTTCCAGTATTATGCGGTCAAAAGATGATACTTTCTGTAGCGTACTATGCAGAATACATATGTCCCTGTTAGCTGCATCCATGACACAGGAAGTGCTGTACTCATAAAGAAGGGAGGAGCTTCATATGCAAAGTAATTGCCATAGATCTCAGAGAGGTAATATGAACACAAGTGCATTACCAAATAAGGCCACTGGATGGCAGCATAACTAACTATAGAAATATCCATAGGAAATGGTACAAAAAATAAACTCTATGAATTCTCATGTACATTAATGTAAATATTAACTGTGTAACAGCATAAGGTGTGTTATTCGGGCAGAGACTGAGGGGGTGAGTGAGGTGGGGGATTGAGAGATAGATTTGTGTGTCGTCAGCATAGAGGTGGTAGTTGAGGCCGTTAGAGTGTATGAGTTGGCCAAGGGAGGAGGTGTAGATAGAGAAGAGAAAGGGCCCGAGGACGCAGCCTTGAGGGACCCCAACAGTGAGGGGGAGGTGGTAGCATTATAGGTAACGCTGAAAGAGCATTGTGACAGGTAGGATGAGAGCCAGGAGAGAGCAGAATCTGAGGCTGACAGAGTGTAGTTTTTTGAGGAGGAGGGGGTGGTCGACTGTGTTGAAGGCTGCAGAGAGGTCAAGGAGTAGGAGCACTGAATAATGGCCATTAGCTTTGGTGGTTAGCAGGTCGTTTGAGAGTTTGAGTAAGGCAGTTTCGGTGGAGTGTAGGGGACGGAAGCCGGACTGTAGGGGATCGAGGAGGTTGTTGTCAAGGTGAGAGCTTAGGCGGGTGTAGACTAGGCGCTCGAGGAGTTTAGATGTAAATGGGAGCAGGGAGATGGGTCTGAGGTTGTTCGGGTCATTGGGGTCCAGGGAGGGCTTTTTAAGTATGGGGGTGATGTGTGCATGTTTCAGAGGGGAGGGGAAAGTGCTGTAGGAGAGGGAGAGGGAGCGTAGGATGGTTGAGGGGATAGGGTCGAGGGGGCAGGTGGTGAGGCGGGCATTAGAGCGGATCTTGGAGACTTCCTTGATGGTAGTAAGGTTAAAGGTGCGGAGTGTTGGGGGGGGGGGGGGGGCTTCAGTATGAGGAATGTAGGGTGGAAGTGGGGGTCAGAGCAGTGGTAGAGCCATGGGAGAGGGGTGATGAGGGGGTAGTTGAGTGAGGGGGAACGGGGTTGGAGGGAGTTTGAGCAGCGACGAAGTCCCTGCGGGTTATGTCGAGGGAGAGGGGAGATGAGGGGGTAGCTGTGTGAGAGAGGGGACGGGGTTGAGAGGGCGTGTGAGTTACGGCGATGTCCTTGCGAATTGTGTCAATCTTGTGT